GCCTGGCTCTCCCGATGCCGGGGCCTCGACCTCAGCTCGGTCCGCCTCTCCCGTGGATGCCGTGGATGCCTCGGCCTCGCCGCCACCCGCGGCTGCTCCGACGGCCGGGCCCGTCACCCGCTCGCGCACTGGTGTCTTCCGCCCGAGCTCCCGCTATGCGGATGACTATGTCTGCACCGCCTCTACGTCCGCTCCTTCCCCGCTGCCGTCCTCGGTTCGGGCCGCTCTCCGCGACCCCCTTTGGATGGCTGCCATGCAGGAGGAGTTCGACGCCTTGCAGCGGAACCGGACTTGGCAGCTTGTTCCCCGTCCCCGGCACGCTAACGTGATCACCGGGAAGTGGGTCTTCAAACACAAGCTTCGTCCCGACGGCACTCTTGATCGTTACAAGGCGCGTTGGGTTGTTCGTGGTTTCCGGCAACGCGCCGGTGTGGACTTCACCGACACCTTCGCTCCGGTTGTTAAGCCCGGGATGATCCGCACTGTTTTACTGTTGGTAGTTTCTCGTGCCTGGCCGGTTCATCAGATGGACATCTCCAACGCGTTCCTCCATGGTCATCTTGAGGAGCAGGTTTTCTGTCAGCAGCCCACGGGGTTTGTTGACCCGGCGTGTCCTGATCATGTGTGTCTGCTTTCACGCTCCTTATATGGACTCAAGCAGGCTCCTCGTGCCTGGTACCAGCGCATCATGGTGTTTCTTCATCAACTCGGCTTCCGCTCTACACGCTCTGATGCTTCGCTGTTCGTTTATCACCAGGGCACCGAAATGGCGTACTTGCTGCTCTATGTTGACGACATCATCTTGACAGCATGCACTCCTGAGCTCCTTCCCCGGCTCACTAATCGTCTGCGTGCTGAGTTTGCCATCAAGGACTTGGGTCCGTTGCACTACTTCCTCGGCGTTGAGGTGGTGCGTCGTCCTGATGGTTTCTTCCTTCATCAACGGAAGTACGCTCATGAGCTCCTCGACCGTGCTGGAATGCTTAACTGCAAACCGGCCGCCACTCCTGTCGACACGAAGGTCAAGCTCTCTGCTACTGATGGTACTCCCGCTCCGGATGCTGGCTTCTACCGGTCCATTGTTGGTGCTCTCCAGTACCTCACTCTCACTCGACCGGAGCTTCAGTACGCGGTTCAGCAGGTCTGCCTACATATGCATGCTCCTCGAGACGTTCACTGGACCGCTGTTAAGCGGATTCTTCACTACATCCGTGGTGCTATGGATGTTGGTCTTATTCTGCGCGCCTCCCCTGCCACTGATCTGGTCGCCTACTCCGATGCCGACTGGGCTGGCTGCCCGGACACCCGTCGTTCTACTTCGGGCTACTGCATCTTTCTTGTACCATCCCTGGTGTCGTGGTCGTCCAAGGGGCAGCCTACCGTCTCGCGGTCTAGCGCCGAGGCTGAGTACTGCGCTGTGGCTAACGTCGTTGCTGAGTGCTCCTGGCTTCGTCAGCTTCTTCACGAGCTCTCGTGTCCTGTTGAGAAGGCCACGGTCGTCTACTGCGACAATGTCTCCGCCGTCTACCTCTCTGCCAACCCGGTTCATCACCGTCGCACCAAACACATTGAGCTTGATATCCATTTTGTTCGGGATCAGGTGGCTCTTGGCCACGTTCGTGTTCTGCACGTTCTCACCTCCCAACAATTTGCCGACATCATGACCAAAGGCTTGCCTACGACGTCTTTCGAGGAATTCCGGTCCAGTCTCTGCGTCAGCAACGGTGTCGCTTCGACTGCGGGGAGGTGTTGAGATATGTATTTAGCACATGTATTCTTGTACTTCAAGTCTCCTTCTTGTGTATAGTTGAGGATATGACTTGCCCTATGTACTATATATACTTATGCATATGTACCTATCAATACATTGAGAGTTGCATCATATTCCTCTACACTTGCCGATGGCCAGGATTAATCGGCAATCGATCGATTCGACCTGCTACTCGGTGGAATTAGGAACTGAAAAGGTTTGTGCAACTGCGATGCCTCTAGTTTGCCGCTGCATCACCCTAGTATACGTACACGTGCTGGTTCGTATACGATTCGGTAGATCAAAGAGCTATATATGCGAGTCAAGTCCGAGTCAAATTAAACGTAGGTTAGCTATTCCTTTCCTTTCGACGCGTAGGTTAGCTATTCTTTGTAGTATTTTGAGAGAAAAATATATATTCTATAGTACTAGAACTAAAATTAGTGTTTTTTTAACACAGTACATACCCAAATGCTCATACATCCACACATACACTTGTCCCTATAAACGAGTGCACGCACATCATGTCCCTATGAGCATCTCCGAGAGACTTAGTCGGCACATCATTTTGAGATTCATGAAGTCGTCACAGACACCTTCGTAGTCGACAGAAACGTCTTTTCTCACTGAACGCACATCGCTAGATGGCTTGAAATAAATTCAGAAAAATATGACCACCAATGTCAAAATGATATGCCGATTAAGTCTCTCGGAGGTAACTTTGTGCACCACATTGGCCAAAACATAGACGGAACAAGATCCTCATCCCACTCACCTGAAACTGGATTTATGAAATCACTAACTTTGTGTACCAAATTACCATCTTTTGGAGCAAGGACACGATAATAAGGATAGGTCGGTATCCAATTATCGCACCAAATGACATTTTGAGTTCCATAACCCTACTCGTCAGATATACCCTGTCTTGAAAGCTTCTAAACCTGACATGATAGTTTGCCAAGTAAATGATGCTCCACACTTCAATTTTTTTTCTGTCAAGAAATTTCCATCTGGATAATATTTTGCTCTAAGCACAATGGCACAAAGGGAATCTGGTTACTCATTTAGCCTCCAGCACTGTTTTGCCAACATTGCCAAGTTAAAGCAATGAAGGTCCCGAAAGCCGAGTCCACCAAATTTTGGCTAGCAAAGTTTCCACCATGCCATATAATGAATCATCTTCTTATCTTGTTCATCACCCCACCCAAAGTCCCGCAAATAGCATCAGATATTTCTATGAATATAATTTTTAAGTTTAGCTAGCTTTAAGCTGAGTATAGCTTCAAATTAAGTTCGAGTAGGTTTATTCCTAGGCTTGGGTGTGTGTTGAGCTTCCTGCAACCCTTGATCGATTATACCAAGAAAACTCGTTGAGAGCGTCTCTAGCAGATCCTCAAAGCCATATTTGGGGAGAAAAATCATTTTAGTGGATTAAGCACTAGTTAGCATATCCAATAAAAATTGGCCGACGCTATGTGTCAGCCGTCTGATAAATCCCCGGTTACAGTTGGATCGTTTGATCAATAGTTGTTTGATTTCGTCCCCACATAGCACTGCCTCCGTCGTCATGCAACTTTGGTGTTGTTGCGGAGGCCATCATGTAACTTGGATGATGTTGCAGAGGCCACCATGCAACATGGGAGCTATTGCAATGGTGTCGATGCGCATAGTCACCGCCGTCGTTTGGGGTTGCAGCATCGTCAGTGTTGCAACCAGACCACCGCAACGGAGTCGTTGCTGCAGTCAATGGTGAGCGGCGTGGCACCCTGGTTGCCGCAACCGGCGATGGCGGTGTCGCCTGGGGAGGCACGACAGTCTAAAGCACCAGTGAGCGCTGCTTCTGGCGAAGAACATTGGCGAGGGCTCACTGTTGTGCAGCGGCCTAAAGCACCGACAAGGCTCGTTGCTTCCGGCGGTGGTAGGTGGCGGTTGAGCTTTGTATTTTGGTAGTCGGAGAGAGTTGCGCAGCGGTGGTGGTGGTAGTAGCAAGGGCACGGTAGTTTTTACGGAGAAGAAAATGAGTGGACGAGGGCTTCGTCAAGGGGATAAGGTTGTGGGAAGATGTGCGGTGTGTAGGCCCATGAGACACACGTCGCTAGCACGAGGCGGTGGACGCACTCAGACTAGCCACAATGGGTAGTAACATAGAGTAGTAACATGGGCATGCTACTACTCTATGTTACTACCTCTATAGTGGGGAGTAACATATGTGTGGTAACATGCATCACTTCATTTATTAGGCTATAGACTCATCTTGCCTTGATATGTGTGATGTTACTCACACTAGTAGTAACTAGCTATGTTACCACGTGCCTTTCTTTCTTCGTTTATTGCTTATCACATCATTTATTTTATTTAAATATGTGTGATGTTACTACTTATGTTACTTTCACTGTGGGTGGTCTCATGTTATCAGCCAGGTGATGGCGAGTGTTTTCCCTTACTTTTCACAAATAACCCGTGGCTAGCTCAACCAATCATCGAGTTATGATTAAGCATGTGTGAGTGGAGGATATACATGCCCACATATATACTTTAGCACCGCCCTACGGCCCGGGCACAACGTACATCAGTACTTGGCGAACAACACTGCAGCATATCCGGCAACGCTTTCACTGATGGGGTTGGTATGCACTATGAACTCGGTATGATGTCCATACATCAACCACCAGTCGCAGTGGTGCTCTTTGTATTTGACGCGACGTAATGTGGCTGATGAACCAACTGACGAGGACATGTACTCTCTGTC